GACCTGGAGCTGGGCTGCCGTGAGTCGCCGGCGACAGCATAGGCTGCAACCCCTGCTGCAGTGGGTTGCCGTAAGCTACCGTGAGTGGCCAGCAGCCAATGTGAGCTGCCAAAAGGCGCCATGAGGGGCCGTCCAATGGCCTGAGAGCAACTGCCTCCCCCAGGAAGAACGCAATGATAATATCAACATGGGCCAGTGAAGCAAAGTCCTCCACAACTAGACTGAAGAACAAAAGGACAGCAACTTGCCTGTTCCCCTCCCCCAATTCCCCAACACTTCCCCTCCCTAACTCCCCAATTTAAAAAAATCTTACAAAAAACGGAAAAAACAAACAAACAATGAATTACATTACCATGAACTATGTAAGAAGTCAGAAATGAATACTGAAGAAAAACAGACAAACCTCCACTTTTATAAAGAGTGTGAAAGAATTTTCAACTTACTTTTAACTTTGACGTCTTTTCATGAAGCATCAGCATCTCTTTTCTTATATTTACCAACTTGGCATGATAGTGTTTAGCTTCAGTGAACTTAACAGGAAAAAATACATAAAAAGTTAAACTAGACTGAAATATCAAAATGGATAAATAAATCAATGCCTAAATTACAGTATATTCCTCCTAAATGGATCACATTTTTAAAGCCTTACTTATCTCCACATTTCAACTCCAAAATTTAAATGTCATTTAAACTATTAGGATTTTGAAAACACTTCAGATTGATAAAAAGTTACGAAACATAAAATACACATTTATATTGTGTACAGATAACATTCTGCTTTAAAAATATGCAATATGATTATCCTAAAATTCGGTAAGACTATCCAACAATGCTATCAGTTTCATTTGAGAAATTAAAGCACTCTCTACTGCCTTTACAAGGGAGAGAACAAGCCAGGATACACAGGACAGTTTAAGTGTCTGCCCATCAGGAAAGGCCAAGCTGTGTCTAGAGCACTGAGAGTGCTGGGGCTTCTGAAGTCAGACCAAGCAGAACAACCTCTGTAAGGACGCTTTTCTTCCCAAGGAGTGGTTTAAGAATAGACTTTCATCTCAGTCAGAGATGGCAGAGAAGGGAAAAGCACCTCATTCTCAGGCAAGGTAACAGAAACGAGAGAAAAAAAAAAAGGCAGAGGGATTAGCAACCTTCATGCTAAGTCAAATCATAGTCTGATGAGCTCTAGAGCTTACAGACCCTCTTTCTCTCTCTCTTGACCTTCCAGTTTTCAGTTCCTAAATGATCATCAAAACCACCCTTGAGCTGAGAGAAGAAAAAAGAGGAAGACTTAGTTTCTGCCCCTTCGGACTAAAACAACATTATATCTGCTTGGTTCATTCAATTAACATTCACTCGTTCATCAAATATTTTTTTTGCTGCCACATGAGCTCAGTGGGGAAGACAAAAGCATGTCAGTGTCTTCTGACATGCCCACCTCCTTCTCAAAAAAGTCAGGAACTACTGAGTAAAACACTGTGTTTATTACCACAGGCCTCCGCCTAATGCTGCAGGAGATGGGTTTTCTTTTTGATTGTTATAAAAGGAAAACATTATAATAAGCTACATTTGTCCAATGAAAAGTCCATTTATTGAGGTACGTGTCAAAGTCCACAAAACCATGCAAATCATGCTATTTGTTAATGTTCAAGGTGAAGAAGGAGGTAGCCCAAAGTTCCTTTTTTTTGTTAATTCCTGTTACTTAGAGTATCAGTTCCTCTTATCAAAAAGTCAAAGAACATCTGATGAAATCCAGCTACTGTCATTTATATTGAAAGATATAACAGGTCCCTTTCAGCATTAACTTGTTATAGCATTATGAAAATTCCACACAATAAAATGCAGATTTAAAAAACCATGTAATTCACAATATAGTCATGGAGATATGAAATCCAGTTTGGGGAATATAATCAATAATGTTGTAAAGTTTATATAGGTTGCCAGATGGACACTGGACTTATCAGGGGGATCACTTCATAGACTGTGTAGATGCCTGACCAATGCGCTGTACACCTGAAGCTGAAGTAGAATAATATTGAATGTCAACTATAATTTTATACACACACACACACACACACACACACACACACACACACATGGTGCCAAAAAAATGTATACACATTTTAAGAAAAGAAAAACTGTATTAATTGTAATACTCAATATATATTGATAACAAAAGATGAATAAAAGTCACATTTGACTCCTGCAATTATAAGAGATGCTCAAAGTGGCTACCACCAGCGTCCAGACACTTCTGATTAGGGCAAACTACAACTTGAGCATAGGCAACATCTCTTAAAATGAATATAGGTTTTTTTTGGCACCCCCGTTATATATGGTCATGGGATGCGGAGTACAGTCAATGGTATTGTAACAGCTATATATTAGGTTGTCGGAAAAGTCATGACGTATTTTTTCTATGTTTTTCGTTGCAAAAATGCATCATGACTTTTCCAACAACCCAATACAGTGTCAGAGGGGTAGTAGATTGGGGGAATGGGGGTTGTTATCATTTTGTGATGGGTATAAATGTCTATTACGTTGTTTGTATACCTGAAACTAATTTTTTTTTAATGAAAAAAAAATTATCAGGGGCAGAACTTCTTTGACTTTGGGGATATAATTTCAAAAAATATTACATTATAATATAAACTTTAAAAACAAAACGTAATTGATCAAAAAAGATGTACTTTTCTTAAGGGGAAAAGTAATACCCCAAAAGTTCCTTACTTTTAGTTCTCTTTTATAAAAAGTTGTTAATTACAAGATCTATTCCAGACTTTAATAAATAAGTTCTATTTCCTATCATGAGTTCAACACTTGAAAGATAACAATTCCAGATGTCAACTGGACAAAATAATTCTCCAGGTAGTCCACCAAAAGGGGGCTTATTCAGAAAAAGAAAAAGAAACAAAACCACCACAGCAGTGTGAGGATGTACAACTCCGGCTGCACACCTCCAGCTGGCCGCCCACATGCAAAAAGTGTCCTCTTCCCAAGATGGCCCTCTACATAAATGAATCT